TTTGAGTAAGAAACCTTAGTAGGAAGCAAGACAAAGCAGGCTATAATATTATTAGATGATAATATTTTTATTACATTTAGATTTTTTTTTATTCAGAATAACATGCACTTAAGAATAACATGAATAATCATGCATTGCATAAGAAAATGGAAGTTCACCCAATTAAAAAAATCATAAAAAATCATAATTTACTCGCTGTCCTGTCTTTGCAAATCCATATGACCGATGTTCTTCCATGGAATGCATGTAACTAGTCATCCCAACAACCGACTAGTCAATTGGCGCATTTGACTTTAGGTTATCTAGATTTTTTTGAGTGTATTAAAGCACCATACAATTTCAGATGAAGAACTTTATCTGTTGCACCATACCATCTTTAATGACGTTCCAGCTGATGAGGTAAAACATTGTCCGTCTGTTCGCTTCATTTCACTGAGGATTGTTTTGTAAAGAAGACTGGATTTGCAGACCGTAATGCTGCGTTCGCACCAGACGCGAATAGCATGTCAAATTCGCTGATGCGTCTAGTTTGACACTTGACCACTTTGTGTTAATTCGCGTGTCAAGAGTGAAACTGACGCTCGTAAAAACAAAAGTTTGAAGCGAAATTTACACGCGTCAGAATCAAAATCCATTGGCGGCCATTTTTTTTTATGTCGACCGAGCATTCATCGAGAGAGTCGCCGCTCTGTATTTATTCTGGAGAGCAGAAGAGTGGCGTGGGGATCATATTAGTCGCCGTATATTTGTGTCCTCCGGACCCTTCGGAGGCGAACCATTTGGTGAGTTTCACAATTTGCTCGCTCCAGGAGCTGCTCTGGATGACGGCCACTGTCAGCGGTACTTTCGCCGGTCGTGCGCCCAGTTTGATGACCTGTTGTCCCGCATCAGATCACCTGATTGTGTAAAGAGAGCTCCAAATCACTCAATATGAGGATGCTGCCTTACAGGGCTACAAAAACTGCCTGTGTTTTCTCGTTTTTGGAACAGACCAATAATGTTGTTCTTCTCAGTGATTTGGAGCAGCTGTTTGTGTGCATGCTTGTATTATCTTTGTCCCACATTCACGAATTTCCTGTCCTAGTTGCATTAAACATGTTTAGCTCCTTAAGGCCAATTTATACTTCTGCGTCGAGGGTACGCCGTAATGTACGGCGTTGGCTACGCACGTAGGCGACGCCGTTGTGAGCATTTATACTTCTGCGTTCAGGTCTTGGTTGCTCTGCAGTACTGCTCCGAAACGCTAGTTGGCGGCGGAGAGTTTTAATGTTCCACTGTGTTTAGATTCCTCGCGGCTAGGTTACTACGAGTGAAAGAGAGCTGATCATGTTGGAATTGGAGCTTATTAAGGTGGAAAAACAGTTCACTTTAGTGAAATTACTAAAACTGAAAGGCAGAAATGAGAGAAGACTTCGGAGGAGATGAAACTTGTGGAAATCATAGACAGTGGTGGAAATGCGTGAGAAGGTACGTGCGGAAATGCGTAGGAGGAAATGCGATGCTACCAAGCCGACCAATCACCGATCTTGCGGTCCGCGTCGTCGCGACGTGTAGTTACATTTTTGAGGAGGTGCGCGTCAGGCGACGGCGAAGGGTACGCGGTATGGGACGCGTCTGTGCGTATGCTACGCCGTACCTACTGCGCGCACCCTACGCAGAAGTATAAATTGGCCTTTAGTAAACCTCATCTAAAATGATTTCAGTCATAAGTTTGTCGAACATATGTGGAATCAGTCACCTGCTGGGAGAGGGAGAGACTGGAGTGATGGAAGGAATAAAAGAATAAGATGAATCTATTGTGTAGTGAAGATGAGTCGGTTATGTAACGCTCCCATATGGAAGCTGCATGCATACTGCCGGAGGATGTCAGCGTGTGTGTGTGTGTGTGTGTGTGCTGCAGATCAGTTTCTCATTATTATTCACTCTGTGATTCGAGTGAAGCTTTGATCCTGTATTCAGTTCACTGAGGGAATCTGTCATCCCTTTGATGACACACACACACACACACACGCACAATGGTAAATCTGTCGGACTGAGCATATTCTTCTCACGCCATTCTGTTAAACATGAGAAACATGCTTTAGTTTTTATCTGGATTCAGACTAATCACCCCTCTTATGTGTGTTCGGAAAAGGTGTGCGAGGTTGTCAGATTACAAGAAAATTGACTTGGCAGTTGCTTATATTGCACAATCTTACAGGACATAGGTGATCATTAAATCGTTAAAGGAGACATGATATAAACAGGATTTTTCTTGCTCTTTTGAAATAAGAGTTCAATAGAGGGTATGTGCGTGACATCACCGTCGGCCGGAGTGCCTGTTGTTACTCACAGTGAGTGGCAAAAAGACTGAGCGGCTGTATTTGTTTTCTCAGTGAATGCTGCGAAAAACAAACACAACACATAAAGTGGGAAAGAGCTTTGCGATTGACTGTACAACTAGATTTGACAAAATATCGGAGGTATATTTGTACAGACTGCTATAGAAAGAGGAGCAAATGGATCGCTGCAATTCACAGAAACAACTGGACTCCAGTCAGCGAAAGGTGGATTTGAAGATCATTTTGTGTCAATATGCTGAATTTAGCTGTAAAACCATACCCATATATTTTAGTATTGTTATCCACAAGTTTCCTACGCCCCATGAGGCCTTGCGTCAAAAGTGGGCGCGACTTCCGGTTGGAAGTAAACAAAGCGCGACTTGACATGCTTGATACTTGTTCATTCAACAGTTGACAGTCATTCAAGTTATAGCGATCCAAACTAGCTAACGATGTGGGAACACAACTTTAACGAAATTAAAAAGGGTGAACTAACAGTACCTTTACCCTCCGCAGTAGTTGATTGGGAGTATTATAATAACATTATTAATAATCAATACTCATCAAGGCATGGTGACAGACAGTTGTGTGAGCTGAAAAACAATTAAAATAAAAAATACACACTTAGTCATTGTGCTTTGGAGTTTATTCAAAATTATAAATGAATGTGCTGCTTGAATACATTAACTGGCACATTTGGTATTCTGTCAACACAGGCTTTGATCCTGACCCAGACAGCAAACTGACATTGAATCAACGTGGAAACGACGTCTCTCATGACATTGAAACAACGTTGATTTTGCTCATCGAATTAACGTTGAACCAACGTCAGACGCGGCATTCTTCAAAGCTAAATGAAAATCGAAAATTGGTTTGCTTTCATAACGTTGAAACAACGCGTTGATTTCAAGTTGATTTTCCGTTAGTTTTGAAAGAATGACGCGTCTGACGTTGGTTCAACCAGTGTTGTGCAAGTTACTTCCAAATTGTAATACATTAGGTATTACTTGTTACTGTTATTTAAAAGTAATTCATTACCTTACAATATTACTGTCCCAGAATTGTAATGCTTTACATTACTCGTGTATTACTTTTGAGTTACTTTCACCAAAATAACTAAGTAGAACTTAACTTTTGGGCTGTAACGATATGCAATATGAAACCGAAATCGCGATTCGCCACACGACTCAGATCCACGAACCTACAGAATCGCGAAACACCTCTTCCAACTCCAGCGTTATTCTCCTACCGTCCAGATCCAATGCTGCCTTATCTTTAAATTAGGCTATTAGTATTATTTGAAGTTAACATTATAAAATACGTAGACCTACACCACAAAACTAGTTGAGGATAAATTATTTAAAACTGGGGAACTCCAGCATTATGGACATGACATTTGCAGTCAAAACTTGAAATAAAAATTCTCCGAAAATACATGTACTGAAACGTA